ACTTCAGCAGTGTACATGAATAAAGTCAAGAGTGTGTGCAATGCCATTTTTGTGCAATTCTGGGATGTTTTTTTAAGTGAAAACAGGTCAACGTGTACATGGATGATACCGTGTATGTGCAATTCTTAAAAACGCGGCAAGCAGTGGATGATTCTGCACTTTCTCCCAACTTCTAACTAATCTTCGTCATGGTTAAGCACTTTTGTTCCATAAAAGTTCTAGCATAAGCGTAATTCGGCTAGCAGATTGTGGAAAAAAAATGTTGATTAAAAAAAAAAAACATGCCTTTTCTTCGTGAAAACAAAATGGCATCCAAAAACAAACTAGCAGGTTGCTGTAGCAGGGTTGGTCGCCAAAAATCGCCAAGTTGCCATAATCCAAAGATTAACTGATTTTTTATTTATCCCCCTTTAATCAGGAAGATCAGAATTGATGCTCACAAATTTGGTTTTGTGGGTATTCTTAACCTCTAGTCACTTTCCTATAGCAGCAACATATTTTACTATGACTGACGTGAATGGATATCATCTCCCCAAAAATTATTCCCTAGTTTAAAATGAGCATACTATCTATACACTATGGTATATGAAATGTCTTTATCTTCTAAATATGATGTTAGTTTTTTATGATATGCCACTGCATTTTTTTTATTCAATGGCAATACTTTTCGAGATTATCAGTGTCCTTGAAGCATATTGAAGGCCTCTAGTTTAAAAACATTTTTAAATCAGCTAGTAGTAGTGCCATATAATGAGATACACTCAAAAAAATTTGAAAGGATTTGTTAAGTATTTAACTCTCATAAACTGTGACTATCTCAAAATATTTTGAATGTCCCATGTACAAATGTAAAAATAAGACAAATCTTAAAACATAGGTAACACATAATTATGGATAAGATATAGACACACATGACTCATTCAAAAGTTTAATCTCAGACCTATCAGCATATTGATTGAGTGCATTACTATCACATAAAATTATTATTACTACTATATTAATTATTAAGCTTAATAATATTCCATTACTGTCTTTATAAGAAAAATTGGTGAATCTTCAGATTATGGTAACTTGGTGATTTTTTGGCGAAAATTTGGCGACCAACCCTGCTACAGCAACCTGCTAGTTTTTTTTTTTTTTTTTTTTTTTTTCACCATTTTGTTTTCATGAAGTAAAGGCATGTTTTTCCCCCCTCAACATTTTTTCCAACAATCTGCTATTGACATATCAATTCTTCTTACTCTTGTAAAAAGCGCCAAACGAATAAATGGGCGATTCTGCAATTTAGCAGCGAAATTGTTTCTAAGTGCTTATTAGCTAAAATCACCGGAATTTTCCGGAAAATGTCACATTACATGTCTCATGATCTCTCATTTCTCTGAGACAAAATAATCTGTGATTCGAAATGTGTACTTCTCAGATTATTGCTGAAAGTCCTAGCTAGTAACCTTTATTGCCTTACCAAAATGCCGCCAAACTACCTGTTACCATATTCCAAAGATTAGCCGAAAAATTTAAAAAGGCCAAGAGTACCAGATTTATGTCAAATAAGCAAAAGAATATCAAATTTTAATAAATCACAAGATTATCTACAGCAGATATAGGGAATTAAAAAAAAAAAAAAAAGGGGAGCAACAATGCTAACCAGTAATCCAAATGACAGATTTTAGGTATGGATAATTATGCATGTATGCAGCGCTGTTAGTTTTAGTACTTAACTAATGCTGCATAAAACTAAATACATATATAGCATTAATTTTTCAAAAGCCAGTACTTTAAATAAAAATAGATTTATGCACCATTGCCAGACCATTAATTAAAAGTAGATTTATGCATGATAATTATTGTAAATTCTTCTCTTAGCCATTGATATAAAATCCACAAAATAATTTTAAATATGAAACCATAAGACCAAAAATATTAAATTTATATGATCAAATATAATAACAACACCCCAGTGTAGGGAAAAAAAAAGATCACATTATGCAGATATGCCTACAATATTCCAGTATCTCAGTAAAATGCACATCGAGAGTTAAACTATTTATTTATTTATGAATGCATGCCTTTTGACACCCAAGCCATTACCCATCTTGCCTCCCAGTACCTCTGGGTTCAGAAATAAAACCATTAAATGTTTTAAAAGATCACATTAAATGTGTGTCAGAGCATGTGCTTAAAAGCATGTTCTTTGTTCATGGGTTGTCCAAAGATATAAAAGTTCTGGCTCTGGGCTAGAAGACGTTGAAGATACCCTAAGTCTAAAGTAAAACATATAAGCATTAAGACAGTAAGACTGATATGTATGTCTAGTTAAAAAACAGAATGATATCACAACTGTAGAATAAGAAAAACTAAGATAACAGCCAAACATTTTTCCTAACATGGTTTTTAAGCACAAATTTGAGTCATTAATACTGGTAAATTTCATTCTTTTTTTACCTGGGTTCCTGGAGAATTTCTGGATTTCTAAAGAAGTGAAATGTAGCAGGCCTCTATGTGATGCACTCTGGTTAACATTAAATCTACTACAGCATAGTCACTCCTCTTAGAAATGAAATTAAGAAACCTGTTAAATCACCAACTGGAGGAGTATCACAAATATAATTGTTTAATTTCTATTTCCATTTTCAGAACTTGCGTATCAAAGCAACCACCATTGTGCAACTTACAAATTTTTATACATGAAAAGGTAAAAATTACTTATCAGGTGCAAGTTGGTTGTTTTCGAGACTTTTTCAAAAGGATTGTCAAGCCTTCAATATTTATCCTAAGTTGACAAATATCCTCAACGAAAGGAAAGGAACAAACTTTAACAATTTTAAATATAAATTTTAATTATTAAATAAAATTTACATACTACAGTCAAAAGTCATTAATCCGGACTCGTCGGGACTTCGGCGATTCCAGATTATCGATTTTTCCAGATTATAGATCATCAGTTTAAATCTGGTAAGATGGCATGCAAAAATTCTAAAATTAAAAATATGAAAATGTAATTTATGAAATAAAGAACAATTATGATCTAAACAGTATCAAAATTTACAAAAAAAAAAGCTTAATATTTATTTATTGTAACTTTATTAAACATTTCTTTCAATGTAAGTTGTTTAAGTTGCTTCATTTTATGTGATAATACTTTCTCTTTAATTCTATAAACAGACATAATTTCTTGTTCAGTTACAAAGTTCAAGTCCTATAATTGCTGTGTCGAGAATACCGACTAATTTGTCAATCGAAATTTTTTTGTTTTCAATAGCCTCTGTGTCACTTTCTTCACTATCGGAAGTGAATTATAATGACAAGGAATTTGATTTAAATCATATCAAAGACGGAGTACATTGAGATGAAATACTACATTTAGTAAGGAATTATAAGCCAAATAAAATAAAAACATCTGCCCTGAAGATAAGGATAGTGAGGACAGATCAACTTCCAATTCATTGCGTGCCACAGCGTTCCCCCCCCCCCCGGCCGCACAGCAACATGAAATTGATAAACAGATTTCGGAATGGTTAGAGAAACGAAGGATATGCCTTTATCCATTTTTTGCAGCAATTCCACTTTTTGTTTAATGGACTTCGAAACATACTTTCGCTTTGTAGATCCTTTACATATTAGTAAATATATATCGGAAATTATATTTGACATAATCGAAAGTTCAAGCTTACTTTTATAAAATTGCTCTAACAGTCTGCAAAAAATAATAAGCCCGATCCAATTCGAAGATTAAGGAACAACATATTCTGCAACATTAACTGAATTAGATAATTTTAGCTTAGCTTACACCGTCCGTTATACATTAAACGCGCATGCGTAAACGTATTATGCGTATGCGCACACGCATATTTGCAGCCGTAAAGGTCTTACGCGCATGCGTCAACGTGACGCATGTGCAGAAAGTTTGTAGCTTTGAGGTCCGGATCATTCCGGATTATGGGTGTCCGAATTAACGACTTTTGACTGTACATTAAAAAAAATAAAATGCCTTCTCAAAATCTTTCCATATTTTTTTTTTTTTTTTTTTTTTTCTATTCTCTGCAATCTGTTTTTGTTTAAAAAAAATCAGAGAATGACAGAGACTTGGCATAGCACAAATCTTGGCAACACCGGTTATCTACCAAATGCATCTCCTGGTTGTTCCCTTTACAGACTTTTGAGGCAAAATTTTCTGTATTATTACAAAATTTTACTGCATACAAATTCCACGAGCACAAAAAAGTATCAAGATTTGATTATAAAAACCTTTGGAACCTGGAATATAAAAATTAGTATATGAAAATGGTAATGTTACTTAAATGTATAACTGTTAGTATGGTTGCCAGAGTTATACAGATTCTGAAAATACAGTGACTTCCACTATGGCAGCTGCGATAACACATACATTTGCTGCTTTTTAAAATAAAAAAAGGACATTAATTTAATGCTAAACTTAATATCACCCGATAAAAGAACTAATAAAAAAATTTTAAAGAGCTCTGATAAAATTAATCTTTTAAGTGCATAACATACTTGCTCTAAATTTCAAATATCTGCCTAGCAACTTTCAGTTACATATGTTCAATATGCTAAGCAGGAGCATTATTACAATAGTTATCACTACAGGAAAAAACAGTCACATAATACCCAAATTAAAAATCAGCCAAAAGACACTAATACACTTTTTTATATTCATAGCAGAGTTTGCATGTGAGGTTGTTAATACTATTCCAGGAACCCTGTTTTGAAAAATTCAAAAGAAATCACAAAAACATCATGACACCGCGAATGAAGAATAATTCTTCATTGCTTTGTGCAAGCCATTCATAATTTCAATATGTAGTAATAAGCTTGACAGAGAATTTAATTCAGCTTAAAATATAAAATTTGAATATAAGACACATTTTTGGATACTTAGTAAAATAAAACAAATTAAAAAAATAATGCATACGTACAAGCACTACACCGAAAATTTAAATATTTTGTATCGGTTGCATGAGTTAATTAAATTTAAAACTGACCTGAAACAGTTCTCCAAACGTTATGCACATAGTACCATTTTCCCCTGTGGTTCCATATTCACTGATCATTTCACAAAGAAATATAACCTCATTTGAGATATGTGCGCCAGCAGCTAATCCTCTCTGCTCAGTTTTAGAACCTTCCACTGGTCGCCCATACCTAGGATCATTTTTGTCCCATTTGGGACGATTTAATTCACTGAGACTACCTGCCTGAGAAAACGGATTATACTTCTGTTTCACACGGTGTTCTTCCGCCTTCTTCTGAAAGGCAGCGACTCTACTTGATAATGAATCATTGCCATATATTTTTATTGGACCTTTAGCAGACGACTCCATACCTGAAAATGTACAAAGTAAAATTACGCTTTAAATGGCTATCGTCAGCCTCAAAAAATAATTATTACGAGAGACTCTAAACATTAAAGGAAAGCCTATATCATAAAATACCTGGTCGTCGCAATAAAAACAGAACCAATCGCTTGAACAAAACTACGAAACGCACCAAAAATACTTTAAAAAAATTTCGATATTATAAACAAAGTCAAAGTTGAACTACTTTTATGCTCTGGCACGATGACACACAGACGTAATATTAAAAAATCAGTGATTGTTAATATTGACTTTATTGATTTAAGATTTAAATAACATAGGAAATATTATTGAAAGAAGAACGCGTATTAGAACAAAGTTCACTAAGCATTAAAATTCTTTAAGAAACAGATTTAAGATGTGAGAAAACTGAAATTAAAATTCCTTCCTTAGAGATTTTGCTACACATTGATGATGGAACTGCATGATCAACAAATCTGAAAATCCTGATGTTGAATACGAGGAAACTGAAGAATATTGAGGAAAATTTAGATGTATCTCACATTCTTATTAAGTATAATCTGGATAAATCTTATTAAGTATAATCTGGATAAACTTTCAATTTTTTTTTTTTTAACCTTAACGAACACAGTTGAAAAACAAAAGTAAAACTTTCGAAAATAGAACTGATTCAATTTTAAGGAGAAGCGAAAACTATCTCACGTTTCATCAAGACTATCTATTCACAGAGTTAATTTTAAAAATTCGTGATGATGAGTTCACTGGCTACGAAGATAAATTTCAGTATCTATCCAATGCATGGCTGGCGGTAGTAGAGCTCAAGAAATTGTCCATTGCTGTCCGCCAACTAAAATTGTCCATTGCTGTCCGCTAACTGCTGATAACTATGCAAGAGTCACTGATAGCTTAAAAACGAGATTTGGCTGCGAAGAGCCACTGTTACGAGACTCTACCTGAATTTTGTTCATTCAGTCGGTACTCCATTAACAGAAACGTAAAGAGAGATTTATAATTAAGTAATACGGGCAATCCACCCAATTAATTCACTATAAAACAGGCAATCCATCTTAATGTAAAATAATGGTGCATTTTGCTTTTATTCTAAAACATAAAAAAAAGATACAATAATGTTTCCAAACCGTAAAATTTAACCTTTAAAGAAATTACATTTATACAACCGTTGAGTTGCTCGCGACATCTCCTCCCACTTTTTGATTTATGGTGGGCGGAACATAATCAAAATACAATATACTTAATAACGAGGCTAAACAATACTTAGTATAATCATAAAAGGGGAAAAACCAATTAAAACGCGAAGGCTTTACTAAGTATCTAGTTTTAGTTATCTCATCTACCACATCTAGTTCATCTTCTACCACATCTACTTTTACTTATCTTATCAGGAGGTTTAGGGGCGAATTCAACTGCAACGCTCTGATAAATTGCAAATGTTAGCTCGCAAGAGGCGTTCCTGCTATCGTCTGCTAAAGTCGAATTCAAGTGCAACGCTTTACCGCTCTGGTAACTGAAGACGTCAAAATTGCAATGGGGAGCTGGTTAGCTCTCGTGCCAGGAGAGCTTGTCCGATGAACTACATCAATATCCAATGAGACTGCGTGTCGATGTAAACAAAAAACATCAGTTCCCATGATTTCTCTGAGCTTATGGTCAAGTGTTTACTGCGTTGTAGTGTGGTGTAACGAAGTGTTCCAGCCCTGAAAACGAAAGAAATATACAGACATGTATATTTCTTTTAATGTGTACAACTTTATTTACTTTATCCTATAGAAAATTCCCTCCAAAGTAATCTAGAGCAACAGGTGCGTGTAAAATATATTTTACTTTTCAGACAAAAATCCTTGCTTTTTCAAATATAAACCACATTTTTTCCCATTTTCAAATTACAGCATTTGGTTTTAATTCTTCTAATAGTAAGTTTAAGTTTAAAATTCAAATTTGTGTTATATTTTTATTGTTCAATGCAGATGCATGATTCTTCAGTGACAGTAGGCATGTTTACCATATGAAAATTAAGCTAGTTCTTGAATTATATAGTAATTAATAAGCCCATCTATGTACAAGCAGATAAGCCTGCTGAACACCGCTATCCCAGTCTCTCTTTAAATCCAGGTGAAAAAGCTAGCTGCATGAGTGTTTTCTTCATTTTTTCAATGTATAACATGAATACTAAGTTTTCCTTAGTCTTCCATGCAGGCATTCCTTCCCTTAGACATTTATTATGTGATGAAACAGTTAAGAGAAATTTTTAGATTTATATTGTACATCGTTGGGAAAATATAAAAATGAAATTAAAGGTATTTCAATGTAATACAATAAATAAAAAATTATATGAAACCCTGAATTGTAGTAAGTGCTAATTCTAATGTGATATTAATGTAATATATGCATCCAGAGTAAAGGTTTAATTTATAAATTATGCTTTGTTTTCTGCTCATTATATTGTGCATTTACAGTACACTTCTGCTTCTTAAGTGAAAGTTTGGACCCATTCTCGTTTGATATCAGTTATGTTCAGATTTATTTATTTCATAAAATTTCAAAAAACAATTTTTGGCTATTAAAAGCTACAAGTGCAGAAAAAGCTTAATTTCTTTACTGTAACTGTGTCATGCTTCTTTGCTGATAATGAAAGTCGTCTTTTAATAAGATTTCTTTCATTGCATATATTAATTATATCTTTTACCATACTGGTTGCCATCTTTCATTGTGCATTCTTCAATATTTTTGGTACTTACGTATTAACACAAACACCTGGATCAGTTTGGTGGTCTTTATAAATGAAAAGAGAAAAATACTTATCAGGAGAAGTACGTTGTTTTTGCAGCTTGCTTTTAGCATAACCAAACTATCAATATTTATCTAAGTTGGCAAAATGTTATCAACATATCAAAGGAAAAAAACATTTAACAAATTTTAAAATACTAATTTGAATTATTAAATAAAAAATTATATGATAGTTTAAAAAAAATACATTTTCCACAAATTTTTTGTCTAATTTTTTAGCACTTGTGCCAAGTGATCTGTTTTCACTTAAAAAAAAAAAAAAAAAAAAATCAGAGAATTACATAAACTTGATACTGCATGCCTTGTCTATGTACCAAATTCATCTCAAGTTGTTTCCATTAGAAATTTTTGTACTAAAATATTCTATTCCTGCAGAACTTTTAACACAGCTTCATCTTTTGATGGTAAGCTCCACAAGCAGTATTTTAAATCTGAAATTAATCTAAAACAACTATTCGTATCTAAAATCCATTGGAACTTGAAATACAACATAAGGAACACATATGAAAATGGTGACATTGCTTGAATGAAAAATTGTCATGAGCATGTTACCTGAAAAATTTTGATACATAATCGTTGCCAGAGTTTGGCACATTTTTGAAAATTTGGTAACTTTTATTAAGGTGGTTTCAATAATATGCATTATGATTGCTTCATTGTATACTTTTTCCCTTTCCCTAAGAGTGCAGCACAATACCACAAGTTTTCCAGCCAAATGCGGTATATATTTCAAGTTTCTATACATTTATATAAATTTTAAGAGAGTAAAATATTGACAAAAACTGCATTAAGTTTTCAACTCTTGTTTTGTTTTTCATTAAAAATTTGCTACCATTATGTATAATTCATTTTTTTTAATGTAAATGTTTTTAAGTATTTGTAGGATAAAGGCAAATTACACTTATTCATTCTTTCTTTGATATAATACATGTAGCTCTTTACCTGAAATCAATGTTTGTCAAATTATTGTGCATAAATTAGAAGTATGCATGTTTCTCTTAAGTCAGTTATGTTTCAGGAACTATCTTTAATGAATTGTATAGAAAATTGTGGACGAGGTGTTAGGTGTACAGGAACGTGGTATATTATAAACATGTATAGTATCTCATAGTATATAAACTCATAACTTTTATTATGCAGTATGCTTTGTATATTATTTCTGAAAGCATGTATTCGTATATTTCAATCAAGATTGTTGAGTAAACTTTTCTTACTTTATGCTATCTCTGAAAGCATGTATATTTCAGTCAAGATTGTTGAGTAAATTGTGCTTATTTTATGCTTTTTTCTTTTTTACATTAGAAAATTCCACACCTTTATCACGAGGAAATCTGCAATGGCATTTAGGAATGACAAGTTTGTATCTATTACATAAAATCTAATGTTTTCTGGATTCTTCTTTTCCTTTTCCTCCCAACAGAAAAACTTTAATGGTATAAATCAGCAATTTTCAACCTTTTGACTGTAGTGTACCATCTAACCAAAAACCGAAAAACATTAATACTACCACTAATTTTACAATGATTATTTTTCAATTCCTCGATAGAAATATTAAAAACATATATATATATATTGCCATTTGCACACTCTTAAGTATATGTATTAAATATATGCATTTGTATTAAATATGTACACATAAAAAACTATTAGATTAAAAACTGATGATTACTTAATTATCAAAATTAAATTAAATTAATTATTCACTTGATTATCAAAATTTCAGTTATAATACTTTAATATTTAATTTCTTTTTATCTGCTCTTATTTCATTTAATGGGAAATTAGGATCCACTTTTTATTTTGATGAGTATTTATATTTCAAATTTAACATGGAAAAAATCATTTTTCACACAAACAGGTTGTGCGAAAAGACAATACAAATTTGATAGGTTTATTTGAAATGCCTTTAAATTCTTTTTTTCGGTTCAGCCAAAAGTTAACAAGTGTGTCATTTTCCAAACCTTCGAGTCAATTTCGATCAAAGGAAATTTCTATTAACTATTCTTTTCTTTATGAGATTTTTGAATTTAATAGTTAAAAATACTTTGTTTCTTTGCGTACCACCGGCTGAGAACCGCTGGTATAAATTAATTATAACAGATGTAAATTAATATTTCTCATACAAAAGAGTTATTTCAATTCTTTATTGCGAACATTATATACAGAGTATGTCTTTTATTAACAACAAGATTTTAAGAATTTAAAATAATAATCATTAAATCCTCTTGATCTATAAACAGTCTTAAAAATTATAAAGGGAAAAAAATTGAAAGTTAAAGAAATCAATATTATGAATTGTTCCTTTTTAGAGAAGTTTCATTGTTTAATTAATTATAAAAAGTGTTTTACATTATGAAATATAAAAATTAAGAATATTTGAATTTGAATGAATATTTTAAAATTTTCCCTCAGATAGAA